CCACAACTTATTTTTATTTGGCACTGTACTGTATGGCTGCCATCTTGCGAGTTCCGACCCAACTTTGCATTTTTCTTTCTTTTGGCGTTTATCTTCACGACATTGCACGAAATGTATCCGCTATCATTTCTTATGATCAACAATAACTTTTGAACATCCGATGCCAATCTGATGTTCAAAAGCTACTAACGTCAATTCCGGCTTCAACTTCGACTCATCTGGCCTGGGCTCTTGGTGTAATTCCGACCCAATTTTCAGGCTACCCAAGAGGAAATTAAGGTGAAAAAGAGGCAGGAGAGGAGAAATCCTGGCGAGATTAAGGCAAATGAAAACCGTCCACCCCTTCCCTCTTTTCCATTGGCCAATGATAATACATGATAATAAGATGGATGACCTCTGATCACGGATTTGCTATCAACGGGACTCTCGTAACTGCAATATTCTCTTTCTGAAACATAGCATTCCGACAAGATACACCAAATGACTATCCATTCACAGAGGGGACAGGACATTGGATTCAGGGAAATCGAGAGCGGGAGGGTTATGCAGCATCAACAGCAAATGGTGTGCTGGCACTAGTGCAGTGGAAGTTTACCCATTGCTCACCCGTCTTGGAATACCTGATGGTCAAATGCCAACCTTTCTACCTCCCGAGAGAGTTTTCAGCTGTTATCGTAACTGCTGTATATATTCCACCTCAGGACAAGAAAAAAAAAAAAAACAAGCTGGCACTTAATGAACTGTAGAAGGCTATAAACAAGCAGGAAACCATGCACCCGGAGGCTGCTTTTCTGGTTGCTGGTGATTTTAATTTTGGTAATTAAGACACGTGATGCCCAACTTCCATCAACACGTCTCCTTCGCCCCGTCATTCGCAGGAGAAAGAGACAGAGATATTGTGTACGTAGGTCGGGGTGACTTGTAAGGATCCGACGGCGAGCAAGTAAACTGCCTCTTCCATCAATCCTATTAGTCAATGTTCAATCATTTGAAAATAAATTAGATGACCTACGATTACAGTTATCCTACCAACGGGATATTAAAAACTGAAATATCTTGTGTTTCACAGAGTCGTGGCTGAACTACGACATGGACAACATACAGCTGGCGGGATATACACTACATCGGCAGGATAGATCGGCTGACTCCGGTAAGACAAGGGGTGGCGGTCTGTGTATATTTGTAAACAACAGCTGGTGCACAAAATCAAATACTAAGGAAGTCTCAAGGTTTTGCTCGCCTGAGGTAGAGTATCTTATGATAAGCTGTAGACCACACCATTTACCAAGAGAGTTTTATCAATATTTTTCATAGCTGTCTATTTACCACCACAACCCAATGCTGACATTAAGATTGCACTCAATGAGCTGTATAAGGCCATAAGTAAACAGGAAAACACTCATCCAGAGGCAGCGCTCCTAGTGGCCGGGAAACTTAAATCCGTTCTACCTAACTTCTACCAGCATGTTAAATATGCAACCAGAGAAAAAAAACACACAAAAAAACTCTAGACCACCTTTACACACAGAGACGCATACAAAGCTCTACCTCACCCTCCATTTGGTAAATCTGACCATAACTCTATCCTCCTGATTCCTGCTTATAAGCAAAAACTAAAGCAGGAAGCACCAGTGACTCGGTTAATAAAAAAGTGGTCAGATGACGCAGATGCTAAGCTACAGGACTGTTTTGCTAGCACAGACTGGAACATGTTCCAGGATTATTCAGATAGCATTGAGGAGTACACCACATCAGTCACTGGCTTCATCAATAAGTGCATCGATGACGTCATCCCCACAGTGACCATACGTACATACCCCAACCAGAAGCCATGGATTACAGGCAACATCCACACTGAGCTAAAGGGTAGAGCTGCCACTTTCAAGGAGCGGGACTCTAACCCGGACGCTTATAAGAAATGCCGCTATGCCCTCCGACGAACCATCAAACAGGCAAAGAGTCAATAAAGGACTAAGATTGAATCGTACTACAGCGGCTCTGACACTCGTCGGATGTGGCAGGGCTTGAAAACTATTACACACTACAAAGGGAAGCACAGCCGCGAGCTGCCCAGTGACACAAGCCTACCAGACGAGCTAAACCACTTCTATGCTCGCTTCGAGGCAAGCAACCCTGAAGCATGCATGAGAGCTCCAGCTGTTCCGGATGACTATGTGATCACTCTCTCCGTAGCCAATGTGAGTAAGACTTTTAAGCAGGTCAACATTCACAAGGCCGCAGGGTCAGACGGATTACCAGGACAGTGTCTTCACTGACATTTTCAACATGTCCCTGACTGAATCTGTAATACCAACATGTTTCAAGCAGACCACCATAGTCCCCGTGCCCAAGGACACTAAGATAACCAGCCTAAATGACTACCAACCCGTAGCACTAACGTCTGTAGCCATGAAATGCTTTGGAAGGCTGGTCATGGCTCACATCAGCACCATTATCCCAGAACCCTAGACCCACTCCAATTTGCATACCGCCCCAACAGATCCACAGATGATGCAATCTCTATTGCTCTCCACACTGTCCTTTCCCACCTGGAAAAGAGGAACACCTACGTGAGAATGCTATTAATTGACTACAGCTCAGCGTTCAACACCATAGTGCCCTCAAAGCTCATCACTAAGCTAATGATCCTGGGACTAAACAACTGGATCCTGGACTTCCTGACGGGCCGCCCCCAGTAGGTAAGGGTAGGTAACAACACATCTGCCACGCTGATCCTCAACACGGGGGCCCGTCAGGGGTGCATGCTCAGTCCCCTCCTGTACTCCCTGTTCACCCTTGACTGCATGGCCAGGCACGACTCCAACACCATCATTAAGTTTGCCAACGAAACAACAGTGGTAGGCCTGATCACAGACAACGATGAGACAGCCTATAGGGAGGAGGACAGACACTTGGCCGTGTGTGCCAGGATAACAACCTCTCCCTCAACTTGACCAAGACAAATGAGATGACTGTAGACTACAGGAGAAAAAAGAGGACTGAGCATGCCCCCATTCTCATCGACGGGGCTGTAGTGGAACAGGTTGAGAGCTTCAAGTTCCTTGGTGTCCACATCACCAACAAACTATCATGGTCCAAACACACCAAGACAGTCGTGAAGAGGGCACGACAAAGCCTATTCCCCGAAGATTTGGCATGGGTCCTCAGATCCTCAAAAGGTTCTACAGCTGCACCATCGAGATCATCCTGACTGGTTGCATCACCGCCTGGTATGGCAACTGCTCGTCCTCCGACCGCAAGGCACTACAGAGGGTAGTGCGTACGGCCCAGTACATCACTTGGGCCAAGCTTCCTGCCATCCAGGACCTCTATACCAGGCGGTGTCAGAGGAAGGCCCTCAAAATTGTCAAAGACTCCAGCCACCCTAGTCATAGACTGTTCTCTCTGCTACCGCACGGCAAGCGGTACCGGAGCGCCAAGTCTAGGTCCAAAAGTCTTCTCAACAGCTTCTACCCCCAAGCCATAAGACTCCTGAACAGTTAAGCATGGCTACCCGGACTATTTGCACTATCTCCCCCCCCCCCCCCCCCCCCCCCACACCCCCCCACCCCCACAACATATTTTTACGCTGCTGCTACTCTGTTAATTATTTATGCATAGTCAGTTTAACTCTACCCACATGTACATATTACCTCAACTACCTCAACTAGCCGGTGCCCGCGCACATTGACTCTGCACCAGTACCCCCCTGTATATAGCCTCCCTACTGTTATCTTATTTTACTTTTTTCTCAACACTTTTTTGTTGTTGTTGTTTTATTTTACTTTTTTTATAAAAAAAATAATGCATTGTTGGTTAAGGGCTGTAAGTAAGCATTTCATGGTAATGTCTACACCTGTTGTATTCGGCGCATGTGGCAAATAAAATATGATTTGATTTGATAAAGTCCTAGACTACTGTTACTCTACCCATAAGCAAGCACACAAGGCCCTCCCTCGTCCCCCCTTCAGCCATGAACTGCCCAATGATACCTCTCTACCAGACAAACTAAATGCATTTTATGCACGCTTTGACAAAAACAACACAGAGCCTTGCACGAGGGCTGCCGCCGACCCAGAGGACTGGCTGATTTCACTCTCGGAGGCCGACATGAGCAATGTTTTTAATCAGGTCAACACTCCCAAGGCCGCAGGGCCGGACAGAATTCCAGGGCATGTTTTCAGAGCACCCGCAGAACACTTTCAACCTCTCCTTGTCTCAGTCTTTAATCCCCACGTCTCAAGCTGACAACCATAATTCCTGTTCCCAAGAACTCTAATGACTACCTCCCTGTAGCACTCACATCTGTAATCAGGAAGGGCTTTGAAAGGCTGGTTATGGCACACATCAACTCCATCCCAGACACCCTAGACCCACTCCAATTTGCATACCACCCCAACAGATCCATAGACGACGCAATCTCAATTGCACTACACACTGCCTTCACCCACCTAGATAAGAGGAATACCTACAGTACCAGTTTTACTATTTTCTACATTGTAGAATAATAGTGAAGACATCAAAACTATGAAATAACACATATGGAATCATGTAGTAACCAAAAAAGTGTTAAACACATGAAAATATATTTTATATTTGAGATTCTTCAAATAGCCACCCTTTGCCTTGATGACAGCTTTGCACACTCTTGACAATCTTGACATGGTGAGTCAGTCAGGAAGGGAGAAGTCCTTAACTTCAAAACTTCTCCATAGCAAAGCTAGCTTAGCTTACCTCGCTGTACTCACTACTGCCATTGTTTGTTGTGATTGAATGGCAAAGACACACCCAAGAAACATCCACATCAAACCACACCCCCAAGACAACTCTTGTTTGGCTTCCGTCATGGCCGTTAGCATTTCTTAATTACAAAGCTTCAAAACGAGGCCAAATCAGGAAGTTCAGTCACTCTTTAAAGTTTTACAATAGGACAAGTCTTACCTTTGTCGATGTGCATCCTCTTTGCTTCGTGGCTCATGTCATGGGCTAGGTCTCCTTCTTTAGGCCCAGGCAGAATGCTTGGGGAGAGGCCCAGCAGAGCTTGGTTCATTTGGTTCATAGACAAACCATTCTGATGTATGGCTGGAGAGGAGAGCGAGAGTAGTACAGGTGATTTAGAAGATGTCTTTGTCTGTTCAATTTCACAAGTCTATGCCCTGTCTGAACAGCTAGCTAACACATTTTGTATTTTAAACATGTGGACGACTCAAAATTACTGTTCTTCAGTCCTGGTGCTAGGGACCCACAGTGTGCAGGGTTTTGTTCCAGCCCAGCACTAATATACCTGATACAACTGATAAAGTGTATTACCATCAAATGAATCATCTAGAACTTGAGTAGTTGATTTAGGTGTGTAACCACTGGGCTGGAACAAAAACCTACACGCCCAGGATCAAAGAGCAATACAAAATTCCAACTCTAAAATCAGTTTTTCTATCAGTTCAGTACAACAACAACAGCAACAACAACAACAACAAAATTGGGTTAGCAGGGTTGGTTTGTTTACTTGCGGCACTGAACACGCAGTTAGCCAGTCTGACTCGTTGCATGGGAAGGGAATAAGGGGACGTACGTATCCTGTCTGAGGAGCTCTCTGTGCGGGCCGGCGAGCTGGAGACACTGCTGCTGCGGTGGGACGATGGGTGGCTGCCGGGCCTCCTGCCGTCCTCTAAGGAAGGGGCGGGGGATGGACTATCTGGGACACGCTCCTGTCAATGACAGAGGGACATCAGTGACAAATGAGGTCCATGAAAGTAGATGCTGTGTAATCAATTGGCCATTTCCATAGTGCTTCCCTGTCCTTCATCGCAGTCAAAAGTTCATGAACAATTACTTTAAATGCCTAGAGCTGTATATTTGTTATACACAGTTTGTGTCTATTCTGCCACTTTACCTTGATGACTGAGGTGACTATTATGCAGGGCAGGCTCTGTTGCTGTGCCACATCTTCCATGTTTGAATATAACAGTGTTTTCCAATCCTGGTCCTGGGGACCCAAAGGGGTGTACATATTTATTTTTGCCCTAGCACTAACACATTTATGGGTCCCAAATATCAGGATTGGGAAACACTGTCATATAATGTCTTACTTTATAGTTATTATGCTTATGCTTATGCTTATGCTTATTATTATTATTATTATTATTATTATTATTATTATTATTATTATTATTATAGCTTACTTTGATGACTGAGGTGACCATTCTGCAGGGCAGGCTCTGCTGCTGTGCGGCGGCGGCCATGTTGGCGATGGTGCTGAGGTGGTTCATCTGGCTCATTGCCATGGAAACAGAAGCAGGGGGCAAGCTAACAGGGATCAGGGGGTGGGGCATCATCATGAAGGGCAGTTCCAAACCTACAACAGGGGAGAAAGGTGATTGGTTAATGGAAACCATGGTTGGTTGGTTCATCTCGATTGGAGGACGTTGATTGGTTAATTGGTTAATTTGACATATGTAACCAATAAGGGTTGGGTTAAGTCAAAACCTGTCTTGGTGATGGTTATGCGGTATCCTTTACTTATGTGGTGTCATTTACTATTCCTTTTAGAGAAGCCGACCCGCTATTTTTAGACTGTTCGTAATTTATGTTTGATCATTACAAAAAGTAACTGTTAAACTATTTGATTGAATTAAGATTTACTGAGCTGGGTGGACATGCTGGTATAACCTACAGATCACTGATACTGACATGCCTTCTCATGCCATTGAATGCAAAAATAACAACATAAAATAATTATCATCAAACAACATTACACTTATTTATGTAATAATATCAGCAGAATATGTTAAACCCGGTCCTTCCTCACAGTATATTTTGTAATCCTTATCTCAAGCGCTTCACGGGTTATCGTTCCATATTAACATAAGAGGCGTAAATGTTTGACATCACATGTTAATAATAGATTATATTACAATAATTGTAATGAAAATGGCAATGATGATAACTATATATACACAATCATTCAAAGCCACACTAAACATATTGGGTAAAGTGTTATGAAATGTAATGTCATGTAATATTGTAAACTGTATATAACTGCCTTAATGTTGCTGGACCCCAGGAAGAGTAGCTGCTGCCTTGGCGATCCTTAATAAATACAAATACAAAGCCAAAAAAAACACATAAATTATTCTGTGTTGAACAAAAGGTCCACATTATGGAAATAACGCTTGCTACTTACACATAAGGAATGATCTAAGTCCGTGTCCAAAATGGCATCCTATTCCCTTTATTGTGCGCTACTTTTGACCAGGACCCATTGCTAAAATTAGTGCACTATATAGTGAATAGGATGCCATTTGGGAAACACTTAGTGTGAAAAATGGCTACAAGCTGAACAAGCTACACCACAGAACAAGTCTGATTTTTAATTTAACAGGGAATTTTCATTTCGGCTCCGTTTTGTAATCTGGATTACATTACCTCATCACAAGATCAGATATCTTACAAATGTTAAAAAATTATTCAATTTCAGCTCAGCAATAGTACTCTAATTGTTCAAAGTCAAGACATTAGTCGGACAAAAAAAAGGGGAATAGTGTAGGCTAGCGCTCCGCTGTGCCTTTAGATGATACAGTATTATGAAAACGGTCTAACCTTCAAAGGACATGAACACACATAGGTGTCTGTCCCCGAAACCCCAGGCCTCCTCCTCTCAGCACTCCCACCTCCTTTTTGGGGTGCTTTGAACTTGGTGGGCTCAAAAGTGACTGGGAACATTTCTGCCTTCTTCCTTCGCCACTCAGTTGTTTTCCCCTGAAGTGCTTAAAAAAAAATCTCAATACCTCACAGAAGCTACTGAATCTGACTAAACCCCACTGTATTTTCTTTTGACAACTTGGCTCAAGGTAAAGAAGAGAACAAACACCACTAGAACCACCACCCAAGAAAGCTAATCCACAAAACATCTATGCTTTTGCGACAAAACATCAGTTGGCAACAAGGGACAAGGCGATCTACACCACAAAGAAATCCTCAAAAGACAAGGACACTGTTTGTGAAATGAAAGGCAAGGAGGTACTCCTTCTCTCCGTTGTTCCCTCACATTTCTCCAGAATCATGTTGATTTCCATAAGAAAGATGGCATGCAGATTCCGAGTGGTGAGCATCCCGAAGCATGAAGAAGCAAGGGAGATTAAAGCCAAGGCATAACGCAAGGGTGAACCTTCGGTCCCGCCACCATTCTCGTACGAGCTCCATCTCTGAATCAATTACCTCTTGGGCTCAATTAAAACAGCACCACAGTGGGCCTGATGGCAGGGGTAGTTACAGTGAGACAACATTGAGAGGCCCACTATGTGTGTATCTACGTTTCAAAGGCAATCAAGGGCCAGAAAGGGGAGTGCTATCCTGCCTTTGAGGGATAAGCATGGGCAAGTGCGCACAAACACACATGCACGCACACATGCAGCACAGGCATGTGCAAGACACACAAACATGAACACACACACACTGTGTCTGACTACATCTTAAGGAAACCAACATACACATAAGGGGAGAGAGATAGCCTGAGACTGATATGACTTTGCTTTTGTCATTCAAATGTATTGTCGAGAAGGGACCTGCAAGTAAGCATTTCTTTGGACGGCACATACTATGTGTATCCCGTACATACGACAAATAAAAACTTGAAACTTGAAACACACACACCCTGAGTGATCTTTTGTGCTAACCGCTGTGATTCTATAGTATGTCTCGTTCTGAAAGGCAGACGGATGGGCATACAGTAGAGGACTCTAGGGGTCTTAATCTCACTCCTTATGTGTTGGCCTCCCTTTCACGTTCCACCATCCTCAAGCGATGTTTCCTCCATAAAGGCCCATTCAGTTGACTGTAAGGGAACCTGCTGTAGGCCAAGACGAGTTCGCCTAGTCCTTTCATTGGGGACTGAAAGGCACTGGGCACAGCTTGGATTGGTTGGATTCAATGGCATAGATGTCAGGTTTTATTGGGAAATAGCTGAGTGTTTGTTTATTTGAGTAGATGTTTTTTCAGACATCTTGTTTCTGTCTTTGTTTTGGAATTGATTCAGTTACTTTTCCCAGGTACTTACATGGTGGATTTATAGTGAATGGGTTAGAATTAGGTTGGCCAACTATTGTGTATGTGAGTGTATAGACTTTAGTGGATGTTTTTGTTGCTTTTCCTACCACCTTTCCTACTGCCTACAACAAGTAATTTACCTGGAGTAGGCCTAAGCCCTAGGGACTTCCAAAGGTGAACTCCTACTTAGCTACCATCATTAAAACTCCAAATCACTTAATACTCAGGCAAACAGCTCAAGCTATTAGGTTGGGTAATACAACACATCGCAAGTGCATGCATGAATAAGCAATGATCCGAATCATAGAGGATAAATGGAATGAATTCAAATACCCTTTGGAAATATCATAATTAAAAAGGTGTTATGTCAGACAGAAACACATGGAATAGGTCTGGAAAACAAAAAGCAGGTTCAAGTATTAATACAAAATCAGTTGATGAAGGGTTTAGATTGATTAAAAAGAGGGCAATAATTGCAACCTTTTTCAAGACAAAAATGACTGAGCCATTAACCTGCAGCGAAGCAATCTCCTCTATCGTTAATCCTGCTGGTGTTCTAACGGTGTGTGTGTGTGTGTGTGAGTGAGTGTGAGTGTAAGTGTACCTACATGCATGCACAAGTGTGTGTGTTTGTGTGTGTTTGTGTGTGTGTGTGTGTGTGTGTGTGTGAGTGTACGTGTGCCTACATGCATGCACAAGTGTGTGTGTGTTTGTGTGTGTGTGTGTGCATATGTAGTGTGTGTGTGTGTGTGTGTGTATGTGTGTGTGTGTGTGTGTGTGTGTGTGTGTGTGTGTGTGTGTGTGTTAACATGAGTCCTGATGGAGACAACTATTCTAACCACCTTTTCCAACAATAGGGCATCCTCTGGGTAGGAATAATAGCATATTAATCCAAAGGTATCGGAATGAATACCTAGCCTTCCGAATAGCCCACAGACCTCTGTCTACGAACCAACCAGCAGTCCTGTCTCCATTTAGCTACGGAGTGGCTAGATTTCCCTTCACAAAAATTAAACCTGCTCCGGCTTGTCACTTTATTATCTCTTCAACTGAATGATTTATTGTTTGTGGAGCAAAAGAAAAACAAAAGAGAGAGACGAGATTACATTTCCAGCCACAGCACAGGCTCATATCTAGTTTTTTTCTTTCTCTAACTCCCTCTGTCCAGGGAAAAGGCTCCCGACAAACAATAATGTCAGCCGTAATTGATCAGAGGTCGCCACCCAGGCCTCGTGTAAAAGCTCCACAATTTAAGTGACAATGAGTGCTATCTGGGGCCGAGCGGCCTCCTCAAATACTAGGGCTAATGAAGCTGTCTGACTCTGCTATTTACCTTATTTTAACTGGAAAAGGGGATGAGATGTACTGTAAGAGACAGCAAAGGCTGGAGAGGATCTCTCCTGGCTTCTCTCTTCTCTCTCTGTCTCTCTCATTGGTGAAGTAGTACCGTGCGGACGTCTGAGGAATGCATAATTGGTTGCCTGCCGCAGCCAAAGCTGAGGGATCCATACGCTAGCTAATTAAATGGCTTACTTCAAGCCTATCTGTCTTTGTTTTAGCAAGGGGCTCAGGGCTTCGGAACAATGGATTGGCAAATGCTGTTGTTAAACTGAAGCACATTCGTATGTGGTCAGTCCCTTTGATTTGGATTGGGAAAGACACAGGGTTGATTTGTACTGTGTTGTTAAGCCTCTTTTTGCGTTCATGGTACAGACACGTGTTTCTCTACTGATCTGTCGAAAGCTATAAATGGCACCATTTTAATCAAACTGCTAGAATTACTTCCTGTGTATAAATATAAGGTATTCACATACTCCAATCTAGGCTATTCTACTAATTGCCCTCGTAAAATGCCCACATGTTGCTGGTGCATTTCTCAGACAAAGGTGAAAGCGGTGGTGCACACACATGGTCTATAGGTGTGGGACTTTTTTGTGATTGCGTTGGGGGATTTGTTGGGTTTTGCACCCAAATCCCATAAGGAAACAAATGGCCGATTAAAATAAAATGGTTGCGTTCCCAAATATCACCCTATGTCCTACATAGTGCACTACTTTTGACCAGAGCTCTATGGGCCCTGGTCAAAAGTAGTGCACTGTAGGGAACAGGGTACCATTTAGGATGCAGCCAATGTCTCTGAGGCTGTGGGCACTTTCAGTGGTCTCCCAGTACCATACAGTATATCTTTACTGTAAGTACTCATCTCTTTAGAATGCAACAGCAAGCACAGCCTTATGAGGTGGATGGGCCATTAAACTCCATCAGAAGGGAGAGGAAGCTATAGGAAATATAACATAAAAAAACCCAGCCTTCATAAACAGTGTAGTCTGGTATTGTGGCAGTGCTATGGGCTGTTTTCCTCTAC